AAAATCACTGCAGATGGTGATTGCAGCCATGAAATTAAAAGATGCTTACTCCTTGGAAGGAAAGTTATGACCAACCTAGACAGCATATTAAAAAGCAGACACATTACTTTGCCAACAAAGGTCCGTCTAATCCTATGATTAGGACAAGAGATATCTTTGAGAGATGTTATTCTGCCTACCATACTGGCTTTGCCTTTGTAACTTTGTTGGCATTTGAATTAAGGGTGCAAAGGCAGTAACACTTAAACTGTTTGTGTTTTATCCAATTAAGTCATTGGTATCAAAGTGTATTTGAAGCTACAGTATTTTCACCTCCATATGTTCACAGTTAGATAAAAATTAAAGCACATAAAGAGTGTCCTTGGGCTTCCTTGGTGGCTCAGTAATAAAGAATCCGCTTGCCAGTGCAGGAGACATGAGTTCAATCCCTGATCTGAGAAGATCCCAAATACCTCAGAGCAACTAAGCCCGTGTACCACAACTACTGAGCCAGTTCTCTAGAGCCTGGGAGCTGCAGCTACTGAGCCCAATGCTACAACTACTGAAGCCTGTGTGCCCTACAGCCTGTGCTCCACAAGAGAAGACACCACAACAGAAGTTCATGTTGCAATTAGGAAGTAGCCTCACAGCAATGAAGACCCAGCAGAACTAAAAATAAATAAATAAATGAAGTCCTTGATGAAGCAGTAAATTATTAATTTTAATAACTGTTAGTCCTTAAGTACACCTGTTTTTAATATTCTATGTCATGAAGAGATAAGTGTTCCTAAATATTTCTGTTGTGTTCTGAAGTATGATAACTTAAATAAAAAAAGCTGTGCAACTTTTTGACCTAAACACATAACTAAGCTTTTATCAAGAAACTACATTTATGCCTGAATGAACAGCAAATTATGATTATTTAGATTTGTGTATTTGTCTGGAAAGTACAGTGCACATTATACTTCAAGAAACCAACTCTTACTGTTGCAAAAAATAAAAATAAAACTTTAAGCCAAAATACAACTTTGGAAAATTGTTATTTGCCACCATGAAGTCGATAATTAGCTTCAGGGGTGACAATAATGTTTGCTAAGTTCAAAAATACATTTTAATGAAATATGGCACCACTTAGAATATCTGCATAATTCAATGAACCAGTATCTTTCAAATCACAAAGTAGGTAAATATGTGAAGGCTTTATTACTATCATTTATAAATGAATTAAGTATTTTTAAAAAATATCTCATTTTTAATGTCAGTATAGTAGATATAGATAAATTATATCCATTTACCAGAAGTTCTTTGGGTTTACCATAATTTTATAAATATGAACTAATCCTGATATCAAAAATTTTAAGGAAGGTAGACTTAATTGATATTACAATGTTTCATTTTAGTAAGTGCTAAGTGTTACTAATGACATTGTTAGATATTAAGGATAAAAAGGCAAATCTATATTGTTACACGGCTTAAAAATCTTACAAGTATACCTCAGAGATATTGTGGATTCACTTCCAGACCACCATAATAAAGCAAATATTGCCATAAAGAGAAACACATTTTTTTGGCTTCCAAGTGCATACAAGTTACATTCAGCCTATTAAGTGTACAATGCATTATGTCTAAAAAGCAATATACATATCTTAATTAAAAAATATGTAATTGTTAAAAAATGCTAACCAAAATCTGACAATGCAGGATTGCCATAAACCTTAAATCTGTATAAAATGCAACATCTGTGGAACACAAATTGAGGTATGGCTGTATATAATATTAATAATAAATGACTAACAGGTATTGGTTGATTTGTAAAAGTATAATTGTATTTTTTATATATTAGGAAATATTTTTACTTTGTTAGTAAAAATATAATAGATGCAGCTTAGAGATTTAAGAGTACATATCTCTCTTAAAGTTGTATCAGTTTCTTCCTCAAATATTTTGTAGCTCTGTGTATTGTTAAATGTATATATATTGGGAATTGTTAGTTTCTTGGAGGGTTAACTCTTTGTCATTATATAATGGACCTCTTTGTCACTGAAAATCTTCTTTGTTTAGACTTTGCTTTGAATGAAATTAATACTGCTCTTTCAGCTTTCTTTTGATTATCATGTAACTTTTAACCTGTCGCATTATACTTAGAGTCTGTTCCTTGTAAACAATATACATCAAGAGTTGCTTCTTTTTATCACTACCAATGGCCCTGGTGTGCTAAACCTATTGATATATTTAAAGTGATTACTGAGATAGCTAGAATAATATTTTGCCCATTTTATAATACTGTATGTTATATATATAATTGTCTCCATATATATGTGTTCAGTTCAATTCAGTCCCTCAGTCATGTCCGATTCTTTGTGACCCCATGGACTGCAGCATGCCAGACTTCCCTGTTCATCACCAACACCCGGACCTTGCTCAAAGCCATGTCCATTGAGTCAGTGATGTCGTCCAACCACCTCATCCTCTGTCATTCTCTTCTCCTCCTGCCTTCAAACCTGCCTGAATCAGGGTTTCTTCTAATGAGTCAGATCTTTGCATTAGGTGGCCAAAGTATTGGAGCTTTAGCTTCAGCATCAGTCCATCCAATGATTATTCAGAACTGATTTCCTTTAGGAATGACTGGTTTGATCTCCTTGCAGTCCAAGGGACTCAAGAGGCTTCTCCAACACCTCAGATCGAAGCATCAGTTCTTTGGCACTCAGCTTTCTTTATGATTCAACTCTCATATCCATACATGACTAATGGAAAAACCATAGCTTTGACTATACGAACCTTTGTTGGCAAAGCATTGTCTCTGCTTTTTAATATGCTGTCTAGGTTGGCCATAGGTTTTCTTCCAAGGAGCAAGTGTCTTTTAATTTCATGGCTGCAGTCACCATTTGCATTGATTTTGGAGCCTAAGAAAATCAAGTCTGTCATGGTTTCCATTGTTTCCCCATCTATTTGCCATGAAGTGATGAGACAGGATGCCATGATCTTCATTTTTGAATGCTGAGTGCTGAGTCAGCTTTTTCACTCTCTTCTTTCACTTTCATCAAGAGGCTGTTCAGTTCTTCTTTGCTTTCTTCCACAAGGGTGGTGTCATCTGCTTATCTGAGGTTATTGATACTTTTCCCGGCAATCTTGATTCCAGCTTGTGCTTCCTCCAGCCAGGTATTTCACATGATGTACTCTGGATAT